CACAAGTTATGACCAAGTACACATGCATCGGACGTCCCTAATTGTCCAGTGTGTATAAAAACAAGGAAGCTTTCTTTAGCCATACAAACTGTGTAACAATACTGACGTGTCATTAGTGGGCTTGAAACAGTGTCTCCTGATCTCAAGCTTAGTTGACCGAATATCGCTGTGAGTTTGTGTACAAAATGCATAAATTTTAGAAAACAATTTATCGAGCAATCGTTGTGTAAAACTAAATTATAAATAGAGCAATTATATGAGTGCGAATAAAACTGCGGGCGAGCTCTAAACTAATAAGAACTAGTGTTGATAGCGGAAGTGGAAGTATCTCACTGCCTGAATGCTACGCGCATCGGATTGACAAGCTGTTGAATACAACTGTAAATATCGCTAGGTCCTCTTCAGTGTTCACTGATTATCTATGACCGAGCTGCGTACATTGCTTACCGTATATGGCGAACACGAGTTGCGTAAACATGCTATAATTCCGTAATGAAAGAATGCAGTCACGCAGCTAGTTAGCTAGAGGGTCTATATTGACAGTAACCTTGTAGATTGCCTGCTGTTGGTGCAAGAGTTTTCCTAATCCCGTAGATTAATCATTGGAACCAAATCTTATGCTAATTATAACTGATGGACCCTATTCGCAATATACGCATCTCCGTCGAACACAACGAACAACATGTAACGCTATTATGGAATGACCATTTGACCTGTTTCAACAATGGTTAGCGACAGAGATCCGGATAACTCGTACTTCTGTGGGACATCGAAAGGTAGTCAGTCAATTATTTGTCTAGTTCGTTCTCAAAGTGGAGAAGTGGGAAATTTTTCGCTCCGCTCCTGCCGAAACAAACGCAGCACTCAATCAAAAGAACGAGTCACCGCTCTGGAATCAGCAAGCTTACGGGGCAGCGGATCATACCTCTTTCCAGAAATGTTTTAAATTTATATGGAACTATGCCTAAGGAAGGCTTCACATTACAATAAGGACTACCATCCCTGTTGAGGATTCGTAATCCTTATAAAGTGCGAGTTAGACAAAGACAGCGTGACGCTGCAAGAAGCGTCGGGTACGCGTTGTTTCTGAGTGCTGAACGCTTCTGAATTCTACCTTCTTCCTTGTCGGTTTTTAATTATTTTTCTAAAACCAACAGTAGTTGCAATCTAGTCTAGTTTACGAGTGTCAGTGCTTTTATGTGGAGCTGGTATCCAATGGATGGCAAAGTGGATACTACTACAAGGTAAGAGATAAAACACTACTCCATCGATACTCCATCAGTAACCCCAAGAGGTTGCCGATGCGAACGAAACAAATAACAAAAATGTTTGGTCGGGTCTTTTCGTCAAGTACTTTTTTCACGAAATTTCAGATTGACTGAAAAAGTCAAGACCCACTTATGGTATACAAGGCAATGGTTTCAGAATAAGCTGCGCCATTCAGGGATCAACTCAACTCAATTCATCATGAAGAACTTAAAAGCCAGTCCAATGCCTATAACAAAAGTTTACATAATCCATCCATTAATTAGTGGCTATTATAAACAGTTGTTCGCTGGTGATTCATTTTATTTGAATGACTCAATTTATTAGATTATGCGGGGCTGTCCAGAGGACTTAAATTTTAAATAACTTTTAAACTGCGACTAATAGCAAACGAAATTTCGTAGACATTTACACTAAGTCAGATAGTACAAGAATGCACTTGACAATTACGTGAAACAAGTGGTTGGCTTTATACCTCCGTAGCACCAGGAATTAACTACGTTGTCTAATTGGCTGCATTGAAAAGTATGCATGTATTCTAATATATAAGTAGAAGAAATGTTTTGCAAATCCGTTGTAGTTTCGCGGTGTGATGATCGAATGTGAATTCGAAAAGTGGGAGTTCGAGGTGGGGAACAGGGAGTTCCATGTTTTCTATTTCTTTCTTTTTTTTTTTTTTGATATTGCTCATACAACACTTTTAGCTATTATCCTATGTCAACAAATCCTCTGAATCCCCTTCTTTTAGGTGTGAAATCAGGGACTTACTCCCACTAGGAGTCTATTCAAGGTAGGTCTTACTGGGATGTCCGCGACAGGCCTACAGAACGACATAGCAATCATATGAGCAGCTATAAATCTCAGTAATAATACTTTTTTAGTGGTGCGCACGATTGGTCAGAGTTGTTGTGCTGTTAATCCAACATGTGCATTTTAGCGACCGAAATCCACAGGTTCCCCATAAGCGTGTCAATCGCATTGTCTTGCTTTGTGGGCAGTCGTGAAAACGTCTATTGTTTGACTCAGGACAAAGACATAGCCAGTACGACACCTTAACTTGAGTGCAGTTCATTTTTCTAAACTTGCAGTATCTAAATACGTTGTGACTACATAAACGTCACAACAGACCGTGATGCTATTCTAAAAAGAAAATCTTTTGAATCCTGCAAATGTAATACCGAACGGATATGTAATTTTTATAGTCGCGTATTAGCATACACGCTTTCTCGTATACAGTTGAATCAATACTCGTTTGATAACAGGGTTTGAATCGCTTCTATGTGTTTCTTAAAATATAGTTGAACTTCAAACTCTTTAGCTATTTGGATGTGCCGACTATGCCAAGACGAGTTTCTTTCAGTAATTCTCTATGTGAAACATTTCTTACTTATTGAGTGTGGGTCAAGCGGATGCAGTAGCTTCCGGTAGTTTAATGGGGACCTAAAATCATAGTATACGTATCTCGTATCACAACATATCGTTTGTGAGTCACAGTGAAAACGATATGTGTGCTAGGAAAGCTAAATATTGTAGAATCAACATTAAGTATACGAGTGCACCTCCTTAATTAGGCTACAATTTGACACAACTTGGTTTTCAAACGCCAGTGAATAGCTTTTCTGGAAGTACTCAAATTCTATTCATCTGTTCAGAAACTTTTGAGCCACTCTAAATGTATACAGCCAATACAGCTTGATTTGCTATTGTTGCTTAACGTGTTGATATTTCTGCCACATGATATTGTGCTGCCTCTGCAGTATGCTAATTCTTTTTCATATTTGAATGTTTTTTTTTCACGCCTATTGTTTTATCTGAACGTCATATAATTCGTACCTAGTTCTAATCAGCATATAAGTAGACTACACGCGGTGAGTGCCCTTCAAGATATCGGGCAGCAGCGTTTGAGCTGCGCGAAATTTCGTTCTGCGTTTGCTATCGCTGCCTCACTTTGTATAGGGCTAATATTTCAATTCACCAATCTGACCTCAGTACGTCTGCGTGGAACTGAATATGGTCTACAAATTTAATCCGAACACTTCCTACAGGTCGCGCCTCAGAAGAGTTCAGAAGTTTATAAATGGCAAAACTCCATTAAATATCTTGGCTAAACATTTTGGAGAATCGTTCGAATAATCGTTACGTTTTGGTTCAGCTCCAGAGACCTTATCTAGTGCCGAAAAGTCAAAGAAGAAAAATTGTATGTAACAACTGACCTTTCTTAGTTAATATGATTAAAAACAGAATTAATGAATCGATACAAATAAATATTAACAAAATAGTTACTTACAGCTACGGTCCGCAGTACTGCTGTAAATATTTAATAAATAAGTAAGTAGTACATTTACCTGAGGTGATGCCATTAAAGTGTAAGCTTCGACGTACTGTCTAACAGCCTGACACAATGCTTACCAACGGTAGCACCAAGGCAACTATTATTAATTAGTGAAGGTCTCCGTTTGTACCATACTTCACCGAAGGACAAGATTCAAGTGCTATGATCGCAGATCGGGTCGCAGAGATGAAACGAAAATACTCGTGACACTGTATTTACTTACAGAAGGAAATGGACGAACTATAATGCTTCATATAATAAAAGATTTACAAAGTTCTAAAGATGTTCTATCTTTGTATATTTTTATCAATAACAAAATCATGTTTTTACGCATTTTCGAATCCTTTAGCAAATTTTGGCAGCGTAAACATAAGGGAATAGTTTTCTACCGCCAGATTTATCTATAGAGCATTAAGCAGCGTGTGTTGAGATTTAATATTTGTATTATCTCTGCCGTCACTAAACACTTAACAGCGTTAACTTTCAATTAAGAAATAGAAAGAAAAACTACACAAGTAGATAAACAGCTTAATTCATAGTTATTGTAAGAACTATACAGGAGAACGGGCAGCGGTACATGGGGGTGTTATATCATTGTCACGTTCGTTGAACGTCTCCTTGCCGTAGCGGAAATACCAGAAAGTATCGCCATGTCTAACGTGGAATAAAACGGGCGCTGAAGTCATCATTTTGGGTATTCAATGCATAAAATGACACCGAGATGTTTTTTTATCTTGCTTTTTTCGTGTCATAGACAACAGCTGGAACTTTGCAACTGTACAAACTATTCAAAACACTAAAATACAACACTGTCATGTAAATCTTTCGACTAGCATCTTGGGTGGTATATCAGTTCCATGTTTGTGGTTCAAATCAAGCTAGTTGCAAAAGCTATGTCGCATTTTTTTAGCAAATACTCCAATTTTCACACATACGTAAAGTTGTGAGAAGTCTTGTAACCATGTTTCTATATGAATGTTAAAGCAGGTAAGACTCTTTACACATGATAGGGTGGGGATGACTGAAAGGAGACTAGAGCTAATACGAAATTTCTTGCAGCTCAACCCGGTACCGTTCATGCTAGTGTTTTAAGAATGTTACCCATGTTCAATACTGCCCAGCTAAATACCTAATGGCATCGAAACACTTAACTAAGAGAATAGTTCAAGTCGACACACCTGGAAAGTGACGGTTTAAAAATACATAAAAAGATTTATACTAAAAAGGCACTGGTAGAACACTGAATAGATTATATATAATTATTATTTTTAGATCCATGAATTTATCTAACATTTATAAATTCATTCATGGCTGAAAAAAAACGACAATTTTTGGTTTCAACCAGGTGGTCCAAAAAAAGAGGCATTTGTTGGACTAATTAGGCCTATATCAGCAAGTTCTGTCCGAAATAAAGAGAACTTGTCAGTCATTTATTTCTTCCTAAAGTCATTTATTTAAATTAATCATGACCAATTAGATCTTTTTCTGTATTTGGCTAGTAGTCAGATTATAAACGGCACCATTGGCTGCATCATACACTGATTCCAGCCAGTTGTCGTTAATAGATCGTGTATCGATTGACTATATGGGCCTACGTTCACAGTAAAGGAAGAACCGGTTTCTAGCTAAAGCGAAAATCGTTTAAATATTCTCCTTTTTTTTCGAACTGCAGACCAACTCCCTAGTTTTTAGTTTGTAAACTTCGCCGTACCGTAAAGCTACCGTTGCATACAACTTCTGGACGACTTTGTAATTTATATTTTATTGTGGTAAGTATCATTGAATTATGGAAACACCAACAAATTATTCAAGCGTATACAAAAATTGCAGCAACAAAAAAAACATACTTCATAATTTATTATATTCCCGTATTATTCATATTAATATATTTTTGCAAGTTTATCAGTGTAGTTATCTTTTTTAAAAGGAACAATACCTTTCATTCGATAAAACTGTAATTAGTAAAGTATTTCATTATATTTCCATATTTCTAAACCGTCAGTACATACAAGATCTGTTTCGTTCTTGTCACTTAAGACCTTTATCTATTAGTGTTTGCTGTTCATTAAAACCAAAAGATCTATTTATTACTTGCTGCGTATTATATAACAGAGCTTATGCCCTGTCGTTGTCTGTACGCATTTTTTATTACATATTTATATTTACAAATGCTGCTTGCTACAACACTAAGCATATACTACGCAATAATATAACATACTAAACAAGAATGGTAACTATATATTAAAGTCCTAATACCCCAGAAACGAGCTTAATGTTATTACAAATCGGTAGTTCTTGCTAGTAAAGTTTCTTTCTATATGCGTATAACACATGTTTTTCTCCGATTAAAAATACTAACTGTTAATTCCAGTGATGTTAGTTGATGTTCTCTATTAACTGCATTGCATTGTCTCTAGCTTAGCCGGAATCTCAAGGAGGGACCTTAGTTGAAATTGTTTGTTAATTTGAATGTTTCTATTGTGACGATCGAGGAGAAGTCCATACCAACCAGCTGCTCTTGCGCCGTTAAAGTCACACTCTAAATCGTCACCAATATGCACAGCCTGCCGTGCAAGGCATTTCCTAAATCCATATGTTAAAAAAATGGCTAGATCAAAAATTTCTTTCTGAGGCTTGAACGCACCTGCTTCGTAACTGTTAATTACAACATCAAAATATTGTCGAATTCGGAGATTCGTTAAGATGCTCTCTAGACGGTCATCTGTATTGGAAATAACGATAAGCTGTTGATCATTTTTTTTAAGCTTTTCGAGGACCTCTAAAGCGTTCCGGTCGAGTGTCCACGATTCATCTGTTGAGAACGAGTCATACAGCTGTGTAAAAATCTTCTCGAAAACTTTCTCATTTTCGGTCTTACTTAACGACTCAAACCCACTTTCATGAAGGGTCCCTGATACCACAGCAGACCACCACTGGCGACATCCAATTGTATCGTGCCCAAAATTAGGAAACTTGTTCCACGCCTTTCTATACTGGGCCTTGAAGTTGGTGGATAACTGATCAGCGTCGAGAAATATTCCGTATTGCATGCATGCTTGTTGATAAGCCACTCCCAAAGGCACTCTAAGTCTGATCAAAGTGTTCGTGACATCAAATGATACCAATCGAATTCCTTGCATATTATAGAAACCGAATTCCTTCTGCCAACTGATATATTACCGACAGAAACACATGGAAAGGAAGAGGTAGCTAAGTACCAGCACTTTTCAGAAAAATTCCTATAGAGCTTACTGTTTGTCTTTGGAAATTAAGTACAATAAACGACAACGACTTACTCTCATACGTAAACTGATCGGCTGACTAAGCGCACCACCAACAATAACAATCGTACACTTCTTTGTTGATTTTGAGCCTCGCAGTAGACAGGGAGCGTCTGCTAGGCCCGCCTACCGGTTTGCCTAAATCAAGCTACACCGCATCATCTTGTGAACAAACTTTTGGCATTCAATGTCGTTTGTTCTGAATTATGAAAACACATAACATATAAATTCATCCTATGAATCATCTGAGTCTTGCAATCTTTCTAATTAATGATGATTTATCTAATGAGTGACAACCTTTACTTGTAACCAAATAGCATAATTTATATCAATGGAACAATATTGCAAGTATGTAGCTTACAAATTCTTAGATTAAAATGCACATTTTGACTTATAGATTAGTTTTCTAGCATTTTTTTGCATATAATTTAATTCATGCAATCAGCGAATCATGGGGGGAGTACGCAGGTACGTATGAGGATTAACCGAACTACGAATGAGGCTCATATAAAAAAAAACTCCCAGATTTTCAACAGTGGTCTAATTCGCGGTTGTAAAATTTATGCACGCATCCATCGAAGTATGGCGTTCATCTGGAGTATCAGCGACTTTCGTACGATTAAATACAGACAGAGGGTGACCAGAGCTCATGCTACTCAGTGCACTCGAGGAGCGCTTTTATTTTCTAAGTAGAACACAATGATTAAATGTACGCTAAGCACACAATCCTTTATCCGGATAATATTCGGTATCGCCGTTGGGCATTCCATCAAACGGCTGGCCCCCACCATAGAACCGGGTTTGCTGACTTCCAGCACGTAACGAAGTGTGTCTGTGTTCTGGTTTGAACCTAGACCTCATATCCTAGATACATACCATATAGATACATATACAGACATACATATCCTAGATACCTTGCGTTAACCGCGTAAGTAATAATGATAAAATTAGTTTTTTAGACTATATACCTCAATGACCACTTAAAACTCATTCCTTATGGACAATTGTTCCAAGTTAGATCTTCGACTTCGCTCGGCTTCCCGCTTCCCCCTCCCCCCTGTCCGACGTTGAACCTTTGTGGCCTTTTTATTGTTTTTTATTGTATATAGGAAGCCCCGTACCGTTTGCCCTCTAAGCCAGCCAAGTTACAGGTGACAGAAATGGTCGCGCATGCACCATGCGGTATAGACTGATACACAGGCAGACAGGCATTAAATAGCTTTATACTGAGAGGGAGGGAAATGCCTATATACCCCAGCAACGGTGTGTCTTCTTTCTTATCGCGTTCCTTTGATCTTGGTAGGCCAGTTGGTCCCTTCTTCCGGAACCAGTTGTTCGCCCTAACCTCGTAGTATACATTTACCCATCGACAATTTAATGACTTCTAATCTCAGCCGCAATAGTCTAAGTCCGTATCAGTTTACTGTGCTAATGGCGGCGTTGTCCTGCAGCTTAACTGAAAGGCACACTTCATTCCAGAGCGCAGAGGGGAAAGGGCACGCGCAATATCGACGTCATCATCATTGACTTGAACCTACCGCTAATGCTGCTGCTACTGTCTCGATGCTCTGTTGTGATTCGACACGATGATCTCAACAGCCAACGTTTGAACGATCAGTGAGCACTATTTGAACAAGCGGCATTGTTGTTTGTGCTGCCACCGCTACTTCTAGTTAACCCTTTCGATTCAAACATTAAGTCATAACTGAGGTTCCCCTTTGCTACCACTCGTAGGTCTATTACGAACTGGCTAATTCGAAGCGCCGGTCTGATGCAAGTGGATGCCCTGTTATCGCAAGTGTTTCGTGATGACTTTTTTGTAAAACGAAATTACCGCCCAAATCACGGTTCAGAGGTTAACGAGTCAAGACAGAGAGAGTAAGAAGGTAGGTAAAAAAAAAAAAAGAAGAAAAGTACAATCATTAATCGAGCGAAAGCGAATGAACCTGGTGCTATTGAACACCGCACCGAATCAGTACTAGCATACTATAATATAGAAGATGGTGTGCGTCATAAAGCATGCGGGCGCCCAAGAGCATCCAAGACAGCAGAGATTCAAAAAAGTGTAGTACCATTACTCTGTATCTACATAGCTGAAGAGCTTTCATTTCATGTATTATAGCATAATTATATTGTCAAGCGAACACAACCAGCAATAATTTGCATGTGAGACAAATTATCATTGCCATAGAATATATGCTACAGCTTGAAGGAAGATAAGCGCCACTGAAGATCAGTGGAGATAGGCAGTGTCGATGGATGGATAGGGGAAAGGCGGTAAAAAAGAGAAAAAGAATTTATAAATACATGATTTGAAGGGTACATATGGCACATATGTAAGAAGCCGCAAGATGTGGTGCCTGCCACAATCGCTGTTGTGCATTACGTAAATTGTGGGAGAGAGAGGGTTTCAAGAAACTCACGAATACTTCTACGTAAAAGTCCCGTGTTCGTCGTGTAACAATCATAATTACAGGATTTATTCGCGCCCTTGTATCCCTACCTGTTGTATTCATCCTCGGTAATTCTAGTTAATGAGAAGTTAAAGAAGTTGTCATGGGGTGCTCGTATGGAAGACGACGACTCAGTCGAATAGAGGCAAAAGTTCTTATGCAGTTTATTTCGGCAGACAATTTTATGCGTAGTTTTGTCGAAAATGGTGGCTGCCTGCATACTCCTTTTCCTCTATAGCTCCGTGCCATGAAAACAGTGACTAGCCATCTAAACTTCTAACTTATAAAGCATGAATCGCGATACATTGTACTTTGGTTTTCTGATTAGTATCAGGAATTTCTATTCAAAAGAGTACTGCCGGTGTGGCATTTCAGGCGGGTGAGTTAAAATAGTCGGGAAGGACCGTGCCTTTAAGCTTCCCCAGACGAGGCGTAACGCTAACATGGTATAAAAAAAAAAGCAGCCAATATGTTGTATAAAGCTCAAGGACCAATTTACACACCAAACATGACCGTTTCAATTAGGCATATATTGTAAGCTTTACCACAATCGTGTTATTAACTTATAATTTAGTTATATGGCCACTAAATGACATGTTGGCAAACTTTTCGGCTGATTATGTTGTTACTGTAAAGTTTATTTCTGACAGGGCATTGGTGACTTATACTAAAAGAGTAACTTCCTAGAAGTGCAACAGCAACCATTTCAAGAACCTTCTAACTTACGCCACGTTAAAAAAATATGATTTTATTGATTCGTTTTGTACGCCGACGTTTCGCATCACCATGAAAAAAGACCTTTTTTTTTTTTAATATGATTTCATTTAACTTTAGCTCAGACACTTCTGCATCTATTAAGCAAAGAATATCTTTGTGCGTGAACATCATGACTTAATCTAAATTACTGTACTGCCTAGAATTAGCAAGCTCACGCTTTGGATAAATTTAGCTAGGTGTCCGAAACCGACAAGCAGTGTTTCGACTCCCAAAGAAGGCGAAACAAAAAACCCGCTCTAACTGAAATACTTTAGGTGGACAAAATGCGGCGCGGAGTGCCACCTACGAACTAGCTTGAAACAGAACTCAGTAGCCGATTAAACTAGTGAACATTGGACTCGAAGGTACCACAACTCATTGCGATCATCAATACGAGATATTTATGGAACCGTAATTATAATACTAATTGTCGTTCTTAAGAGTGCTGAGAATAGGGATTTGGTCGTTGCAATAATCCTATTTCATTGTCATCCGTCATCAATCCGTTATAGTTGTGTAAAGTAATTGTACGACGATGAATCCCTAGTGGGTCATTAAGCCGACTACATCATCAGCGAGTTGGCCGCTGCTGAGAACTTACATTGATAGATAAAGACGATGATATTATATTAAATGCTAGAGCCTCTCATTTTTAGATCTTGAAACGTTTGTTTGCCTGCAGTTGGTATCTTCATTATATTCACTCCTTAATTAGATATTTAATTAAAGTAAATAATTGATTTTAACATGATCTGTTAATCATTTTAGATCTTCCCAACCATGACATCCAGTTCAGGTACCGGTATGTATTCTTCGCGGCTGAACTACTACAATCGTATGGTACAGCAGTACATACTGGAACATCAAGATCCCGTCAGTGGCCTGATACCAAGCCAAGGCCAATTCAAAAATCATGCATGGGTTCGCGATAATGTGTACACAATAATGTGTGTTTGGGCTCTTAGCCTCGCAGTTAAAAAGGTGGATCCTTCGCGTGCATACGAACTCGAGCAGAGTTGCGTAAGTATAAATTATTATCATTATTATCTTCGATAAACGCCAGAGGAATATATGGAGATCGCACGCTCGCGCGATTTATGACTTCCCGCAATAGTGTCCAAAAGAAACGGGAAGCTAGGGGGTACTCTAATGCGAAAGTTTGTAGGAGGAAAACATTATCACTACAATTGCCTCAAATGAATTTAATATGATTAACGCGAGAAAAATAAATTACAGTGTTTCCTCTAATGCTCTTTGTTCGCCTATGCATAGCTAATTAAGCTAAAGATTTTAATTACTCTTTGTTTACATTATAATGACAGGTAAAAAATATGCGCGGGCTACTCGTTTCAATGATGCGACAGAGTCATAAAGTAGAGCGTTTCAAAGAAACACTGAGCCCGACGGACTGTCTTCACGCAAAGTATTCGTCTGTCGACGGTAACCCTTGTGTAGGCGATACCGAATGGGGTCACTTACAGTTAGACGCCACCTCCCTTTACTTGCTCACGCTTGCTCAGATGACAGCCTCAGGTCTCCAAATTATTTTCAACATGGATGAAGTGGCATTTGTGCAGAACCTGGTATTCTATATTGAATCTGCATATTTTGTACCTGACTACGGTATTTGGGAGCGTGGAGACAAAACTAATCATGGCCTGCCGGAACTTAACGCCAGCTCCATTGGCATGGCCAAAGCAGCCCTTGAAGCTCTCTACGATTTGGATCTGTTTGGCGGACGCGGCGGGCCACAGTCAGTGATACAAGTAAGTGAGCGATATATATATATAGTAGCAAAATGGACTAGTCGAGTGTCGAACTTACCATGAAAATGCTTGAATAGTCGTATATTATCACCATAAGACCCCAATGCTATTTTCGTTCTTTGCTTGATTCAATAATATTGAAAGAGCCTTATTAATTTAGGTTCTTGCTGACGAGCCGCAAAAGTGCGACGCCGTGCTTCGCTCAATGCTTCCACGTGAATCGAACTCAAAAGAGGTAGATGCCGCTGAGTTGTCCATCATTGGCTTCCCAGCATTCGCCGTTTCGGAACAGGAACTCGTCAACAAGACAAAGGATGCCATCATTGAAAAACTGCAGGGTATTTAGCAAGCATGCATTCAATTAAGCTTCTACCAGTAAACTGGGTAACGCTGATTTGAGTTCAATCGTAAGACATGTGCCTCCGCACAGTTTTAAACTCATGGGTGAAATGTTGACAAAAAAAGCACTGCTAAAGTATGCTCTGCCATTACTTCTATACACATCTGATATACGTTAAGCATCTGTTTTTCAAGCTCATTTCATGATTTTAGTTTTATTAACCTAGATCGATCTTACATTGTGCTATGCTCATACTTTTCACTGATCTCTCACAGAAAATTCGATATCATTGAAATATTTCTTCAACCAGGTAAATACGGTTGTAAACGATTCCTGCGTGATGGCTACAAGACGGCTCGGGAGGACAGCAACCGCCTGTATTATGAACCGTGGGAACTCAGTGTCTTTGAAGATATCGAGTGTGAATGGCCACTGTTTTTTTGTTACTTGGTGATTAACGCTCTTTTCACTAACGACCGTGTCACGGCAGACAGCTACTTAAAATCATTGAACACAATTTTAGTGAAAGACGAGAACGGCTTAAGCCTGGTACCGGAAATGTACGCGGTTGCCGAAAAGAATATTGATGATGAAAAACGAAATCCACACACTCAGCCGAGGCACGCAGTGGGTACGGCACCATTTCTTTGGGCTCAGAGCCTTTATGTAATAGCTGGACTCTTGATGGAAGGCCTTATCGCCCCCGGAGAGCTTGATCCGCTCAACCGCCGGTTTAGTACGAACAAGAAGCCCGAAATCGTCGTACAGGTCACTATTCTTGCCGAGGATCAAGAAACAAAGGATGCCTTGCTGCCATTTATACCATCCGTTCAATCGATCCAGGAAGCGTCTCCTGTTCAAGTCCGCTCTGCCAGAGTGCTCTCCAAAATCTATTCGTGTTTAGGTCTAAACGATAAAATGGGCTTGAACGGCAGACTCTCAACGGATGTAGGTTTACTCAGCACAAGCAAGCTGTATACATTGGACGGAAAAGTGTACGCCTTCCTGCCACAGAACCTTGATGTAGAAAAGTTTCATTTAGTTAACGACATTGACCTATTCCTTAGCACGATGCGTTCAGATATAGCGGTATTAAAAAGCAGTTGGAATATGCTGGGTCGGCCAACTATCATTACTATGATTCGTAGTAGCCAACTCGATAGTGGCAAAGCTCCTTCGCCGTTGCGGCTAGCTTTTAAGAAGCTTCTTAGTGGTTATATCAACGGTACCCGAGTCACAGTTGGGACAATCTTCGACTTTCTCAACACGTCATGTCTTTCTAATCTTTCCTTCCTTGAAGGCCAAGAGCTGAAGCCGGAGCTGCGTGACTATCTGGACAAGGAATACCGCCGAACATACCTGAATTATCCTGGAGTAATCGTACCGCAGCCACACGGCTTGCATCGCACGAGACGCACAGGTATCACTGGAATTATCAGCAGGTCCCGATCTGTCATTGGCGATCCGGTAGATATCCACTCCACACTGGCTAACCAAGAGGGCAGCGCAGCCACTAGTAGAGTGGATGTCACCGAAATGCTTCGTCAACTTCGCGAGACTAAGGATTTAGATGAACAGGGTGATATATTGCACTTTTTGGCCACGAACAAAGGACTGTCATGGGACACGGGCTTGGGCCAGTCCCATTCTGTGATCACGGTCAAGGACCTTTTTCAGCGCTTCTACTATGAAGCCTGCAAGGCCAAAAAATGGGGTCTTGTCCGGCATTTTGCTGCTTCCCTCTGTAAACGTGTGGAAGATCTAGCAAAAAGCTTGACCGACCTACTCGTTCGACAGAAGCAAGTCACTGTCGGAATGCCTCCGGCTAATGAGCATACGCTCACTCGACCATTGTCGACGAAAGAGTTCCGAGCCATTATCGAGCGAGCTCATCCAGGTGATCAGAGTACGGCAATGCTCACTCAGGAACTCATTGTTTATCTAGCAATGTTTATGAATACGGAACCTCAATTGTTTAACGAGATGATCCGTCTACGAATTGGCCTCATTATTCAGGTAATGTGCTCAGAACTCGAAAGGTCACTCGGCTGCTGCACGCAAGATGCGGCCGACGCTCTTCTATCGTTATCGCCATTCGATATGCAGAATCTCCTGAAGAACATTCTTTCAGGTAGAGAATTTTCTCTTAAATCCGTTGGTCCTGGTAGCCTGTCACTCTCGTCGAAATGCTTCTCACGATGGGGTACCACTGCGCAGATCATCAACGAAAAGGACAATGAGGATGATCCTAAACGAGGACAGTGGCTTCGTAGACGACGACTTGATGGTGCGTTAAATCGTGTACCATCTGATTTCTACGAACTCATCTGGAAGGTGTGTGTGTCTATAACATCCATTTTGGCCCTTTGTTTAATAAGTATTTTGCAACCTTAGGCAGCAGGTTATAATCGTTGAAGGCTGCCATGGGCAAAATATGTTAATCATGTATTTCAAACTTTTCAGCATAAAGCCAAGTATATGTATTTCTCTTATTTAAGTATTATCTAATTTTCTATAAATGTTTATTAATTAAAAAGCGAAAAATTTCACATTAACGAAAACTTTGATTAAGCTTTTGGAAGCTTAGCGCTTTAGCAACTATGCATCTGACATACGTTTTATAATAATAATGTATGTATTGCACTTAAAGATTAAATATATAACGGACATATATTAAATCAATTTACTTTGACTAATGCTACTGATGTAATTTTTGCCCTTTCACAGGTCTTACAAAAATGTGAAATGATCTCTTTGGATAGTAACAATTGTATCAGTAACAGTCTCACAAAGGAAATGACGCCCGGTGAATTGAAGTTCGCTCTGAGGGTCGAAGCTTTACTAAATCATATCCCTCAGCCCGAATATCGCCAGATGTTGGTGGAGGCTTTGATGATATTATCGGTGACCTCGGAACAGGATATGCTGTTAGCGAAGTATATCAGAGTAGATACGATTGTGCAGACGGCTCATGACCTTTTTCTGGCTGACCAACTTCAATACAAGGGTAATTCAACATTATGCTGTCTAAAATTTGCTCAGGTTGGCCCTCAAACGGATGCGCAGTCATGCAACAAAATCGCTGAGCTTTGCGAGCATTTTCTTGATTCAGCACCTTCAGGTTCATTTGGCACAATGAGCTATCTACTTCGGAGCATCGCAACCTTGTATATACAGCGGTCGGGATAATGTGCCACGTAGCTGAGGCCCGCCCTGTTTAACGGAAGCGTTCAACATAGATTCTATATTAAAATTATGTTCCAAATTGCGAATAAGTTCGCTCTTCACGTGTTACGTATGCACAGTTGCTTTATAACATGCCTACAGATCGATATAATAGTTCTTACAAAATATAAGTTGCTTTAAATTAACGATTGTCTTTATTTCGATTTGGTACGTTTCAAATGCGACATGGTTCTTCTAGTTTTAGTAATGATCTGATCTCGTTTAGTAGCAGACTGGCAACCGACTATACAGCCGAATTAAGAAACAACTTGTGGTACTTTATTTCGCAAAAGAAAATAAATAGTACATGAAATAGCTAGATATAACTGTTTAAGATATACATAATTTCAAATGCGTTAATTTATATGTGTTCAAATATTGTACCTGATTAATTTCCCATTTGAACACGTTAATTGGACGATTATTATATTAGTGTTTAATGCATGAATTTTCTAAACGTTCGTATGGTCGATTTATATGTGTACCTTATATTATGATTTATCTCATTTAAGCACATTTTCCAGAAATTGAAAAAGATAAACGGTAGTCTAAAAGAGTTACAATATAACGTGTCAAATGGCCCCAGTTAAGTGGTGATTAGCGAAAAGATGTACATGCGTCTTAGCGCTGGGTTTACTCAGTAGTTAGGATCTTCCTAAATTTATTTAGCTATGGATAGAGAAAGGACACCTGACCATTTTTGTATGATTGTACTTTATTCCGCGCACGTAGTGGAAAGTTAAATAGAGCGTTCCATATTTATTCAGATTCAACAGAACAGAACAAACGCTGAGAGTCTTAGTTTTTCATTGTTGTTGTTCATTCTTAGTTTGCTTCCATTACTGTATATCGTCCCGTTATGTACCCGATCCCCTGTCCCATTCGCCAAAGACATCCCAAGAAGGACGAAAAATAAGCTTAGCATACTGACCTTTTCCATAGGTGATCCTTATTCGTATCTTTTCCTGCGTTGGTAATCTATTCAATCATTTATCTAGCTTCGATGCTTGCTATATGTGTGTGTCTCGGATCAGAAGCGCCATTGTTATCGTCAACAGAAATAATTACATCTAATTATAATGTACACATATGTTGATTTATAATATATCGCTAGCCAAAGTAAGATTTAAACGCAGTGTTCTTGCTATTGTATTAACCATTCGATTCGACAATCTATGAACGCACTGGATTCGATTTGCCTTTATTATTGGTGTATAAATATAAACATTTTATTTTTTACTCGTGTCAGATAATTTATTATACGCCGTTATCCTAATTATTTTTTCACCATGAGCGACTTCTGTCGGGGAGACCCATGCGCCATTCCCATCTTCTACCCCTTGTCCTTTGTCACGTAGACACGCACACACACGCACCCTCACACAGTGTACAGCTATACACTACACACGTACGCATACTTTTTCTTGTTATACACGCACTTGATTTTCTCACTCTTCGAACATTTTGCTCTTTCGTCGGTTTCTTTCACTCTGGTGTCATTCGTGTAATTCATTTCCTTTCGCTATTTCATCCCTTCCGCTTTCTACACATCCGCGCATAGATTTTCACCACCTGAATTGATTTCATATATATATATATATATATATATATATATCTATTTACAGCAGAGCATATGTACCCTCTATATCTTTTATGCCCTTAGTTTCCCTTCCAAGAAGCTCTCAGCGGTCCCGTCGTATCAGCATGATCTTTCAGTCGATGACCTTCCACCAGTCCTGCTTGCGTTGCAGTTTTTCGTACCCTTAACGTTCCATTTTTATTTGCGTTTCATGTGCTTTTTGTATATATACATATGGCGTTTTCATTTAAAGTGGCGTTTTTCTATTGTCTTTCACTTGACCTTTGCCAAAAAACACCGTATATATATATATATACTTGTGTACCCCAATGTAATCCGATGGTACATAATAGCCCAATAAATTACATGTATGTGTGTTCCTATTTTTGTTTTCTTTGCTTAATGAATGATAATGTGGTGTCAGTCATCGGACAGTCAGTCAGTCTATCATTAAATCAATCTATGGATCGGTCTATCAATCATACACACAGAGTTCGGAGTCTTAGAATACACAGTCATACATTTCACATCGCAATGGTAATAATAATAATAATAATAGATAATTAATAATAATGATGATAGTAATCTTGTCTGGCCGTATATTTTATATACTATGCTACACGCTATTTATACAAGGTTGCATTCTACGTGATGCAACAGCGAGGGTGGCGCACATGTCGTTTTTTCGTCTTATCTTGTTTTATTATGTGGTTTGCCTGTGTTATCTACAGGTATGATTTCAAACCTATATTTTTAGTTTGCTTGACACATTCATACACTTACTTCTTGTAAGAACTGTCTATGCTTCTCCTCAGCTCATTTCTCTACCTCCAAATTGTTTCTTCATTCGTGCATATACATACACACATATATTTATTTAATATATGACATTTGTTGCGGTTCTTATTATCATTAATATTGTTATTTTTTATTTCATAACTGCTTATTTACTAGCTTTTATAAGTCTTCTGATCGTCTCGAAATTATATATAGTTCTATTTATAGCTATACTTATTTCCCATTGGTATTTTGTGGTTGTATTAGCCAGCTGTGTATCCTTCATAAATCAGAATAATTCGTGGTGGTATTCGTTATGAAGCTGTTTTTGTTTGTTCTCTTGCGGTGTGGCTGTTCATGTTTGTATGCTATCCAATATGTCCGTTGTTTATCAAGAATAAATACTATTGGATGAGAGATGTTAAGTCTGGCACAAAATCTGTTACTACGAAAGGGATGGACAAATTGGTCCAATAGAAACTTAAATATAAAAATATAAATGAAAATACAAAGAATCCTAAAATCATTTGACTGATGGGTACAGATTTAACATGTTAGGAGGCATGTGTTGAAACTCTTTTTGGTCAAACCATTTTCTCAAAATACGACGTTTGTTTTTACAAAAAAAATCAAATCGTAAAAAGCACGGTCTGCTGTTAGCCGTAAATTCTAAATTGACATGCACAATTACCGTAAGTGTTCTCGACCACGTTATGGCAAAGTATTTACTTTACTTTACTGTTGAACTGTCACAACGATGACTTATTCTCTTTCTATTAACTGGCTCTGAACTAAACAAACTTCATGATCAACGTATCTACGAACGAGATCTTTTTTTGAGTTGAACATCATTGACGAGCAACCGACCGGAAAAGGGATGCCAAAATACTTTCATCGTGTAAGCGCAAATGGCTCCCTTGCCATGTCCTGCTTCTCTTAACTTCGTCCTCTCTACGAAAAGATTGTTTGTCGCTTCTGAGTTTTAGCTGCACAAGTTCCTGAACATTTCCCGTACACATATATGAATAAAAGTAGCCTGTCCATATTCTAGCAAAGAGCAAAATATGCATGTTTATCATTTCTGACTACTTTCATAATAAATAAAAAGACCGCAAACGCATAGAAGTAAATAGCACAGACATACAATTCATAGGAACACAAATTGGTTGTATTTCGTTCGAAGTTTTGAAAGTTGTCACAGCGTTACCCAATATTAGGTAACGCTAGAAAGAATTTTGCTGTAGACATACTTACTCCCTTTTTAAGTTCCTGTGTTTTACATCACAACTTGTTTTTTACAATTAATTCGATATACAATTTGTCTGTGTGTCTCATGTAATTTGAGTCTTATGTGTATATTCACATTTGTATGTTTTTTTCACATATCTGTGGTAACGTTAATGCGTGTCGTTATTTCTTCCACTTCAAGGAGATACAGCCAGTAAACTACTTACATAGGAGGTACACTACTGCAAAACCGAAATCGAGCTAATTCTCCTTAACGCCCAGATATCCAGGGTGGGGCTTTTCCTTTGCTCTATTTTTCCCTCCTCCTACAATGTATTACTGCAAGTTTCATGTTCCGGCAGTTTCCCGTTCACACGCAATATAGTATATTTCTAAACATGGCCATTGCTCTTGGCCATCCAATCGGGTGGCTTTCCCTTGAAAACTTTCGATTTTTGTATTTATATCCTGCGTCTCTCGTCGCATTAACACTCTACAAGACCCTGCATTTTATGTACAGAAGAGATGGATGGGTGGATGAAGAATCGGCCACTCAACGAACAATCATGTTCCATGAATTCTTCCCATTGTTTTTTTTTATTATAGAGGGGCAACCACGTGTCGTTCAATACCCGCTGTCGCTTTTCACATGATAGTTGTTGTGGTAGTAGAGTGATAATAATTGTTATAGATAATTGTAATCATTACTATAACTGACTAACTAAGCTATATTTCTATATAATTTATATACACAGCAAATTGAAATTATTTAGTTCTATCCCCTCGTTATTCATTTAGCATGCCTCAGCATTATTACTATCATTTAGGTGGTGATGCCATCTTTCTTTCTTTCGTATTTTCCATACATCATTTTTTCATTCTTATTACTACTATCATTTTCATTGCCTTCATTCGGCATAAATCGTGTAAAACTAAAAGCAAACATGGATAGTAATGCAATTATATATATATCGAGACCCTCTAATCGAAGTTCGCTTTGTATATCAACAATCAGCCTGTTACTCAGCTGATCTCACAATCGATCGCACTCTCCTCGATTCTTTCAGGTCACACACACACACACACACACACACACACAGCGAGATACATTCTTATACATACACACGATCATTTAGATGCAAACATTTGCTCTAATACCCCTGACCACAGACGGGTCTAAGAGAGTGAAGTAGAATTTCTCCTGAAGCTCTGGTCTGTCTTTCGTTGGACAGCGTCACCGCAGCCATCATGATAAGTTGGCGGGCCACACTCTTGCGTAGCGCTAACTACCCTTTTTATATTGTTGTTATCAAGCTGCTTTGTGCATCCTTTTGTTTCTAGTATTATTAACCCGTTATTATTATCGCAATAATAATTATTAATATTAGTTATTATTCATGTCAAGTTGCAACGGCGACTGACTGCATACAGTCGCCATTCTATACAATGTCATAGCTGTTTATGGAACTGTGCGACATCCCACTCGACGAACATGTCTAGGATCAGCTTCGTGTGTTCCGAGAATCCCCCTTTCCTCGGTTGGCTTCCTTTCTTTCAACAGCGCAACCTCTTCTCAAATGTTTTTCAACCACGGCCATGTTCCGCTGTTTTTTTCTAAACCGTATGTGTTCGATGACACTTAGCTTGTCGGATTTGATGCGTTTTGCAATCTTCACTAAAATGAATTCACATCATTGTTCATGGTAGCCATGGTTGGAGGAGCAGGTTGTGGCGATCGGGGAGCTTTAAGCTGATAACCGTCAGCCCCCGAAGATGACTCTTCAAGAGCTTCCGGACGCTCCTGTCACTTGGGTACAAACGGATGCATTCCTACTGGTGCTGCAGCCATCATCGCCGCTGTAATGACAAGTCACGATCAAATCATTACATACATCGCTATTAAAAATAGTAGCAATGGCCCCTCAGGTGATTAAATTCCCTAAACGACGTCTCGTTCGGCGTCATATCGTTCAACAAGTGCTTCAGGGTAATAGTAAGTGTTTGTCGTAAAAAAAATTTCAAACTCATGCAAACATGCGCGTGCAGGCACACCACATTCAGATTCTGAATTCGGTTAGTTTTTTAGATAAAACACGATCGCTGCACAATACATAATAGTAGAAGTAGTGATAATAACATCGATAAAACAAGCGATAACTTAATAGCAATAAAAATGAGTAAATGCGAATAGCTATTGCACGTCAGTATACTGATTTCGTGCGATATATTGTATTGTTAAGTGTCTCCCAGAAAATATGCTGCAAAAGAATGTTTTACTTGGCCGATATTTTTAGACTTCAGTGTTATATTTGCTCCACATCTTCATCTTTTTCGTGAATACAATCGATACTTGAATAAATTATTTCAGATAAAAACGCAGCAATGTTTTCAATATATTTGGTGAACAAACACGCACACACACACACACTTGGGGCTGGTGGCACTCGGAGCCGACACGGGTTTGTCCACGATCTATGTTAAACCTGCAGAACCACAACTTAATCCTTTCTTATTTCTGCCGATTGCAATACCCAGTTTTTTCAAGTGTATTTTATAAATAGAGATAGTTTTTTCTTGTAAGATCTACAAGAGCCAAGATATCCAACGCCATTTATTTATGCCTATTTGATTTGTTGCTTTCTTTTCCTTCTTCTCCTCGTTAGCCTTGTATAAGACAGCACCTTCGTTCCAGTCGGATCCATTGCACTGAGAGTTAGTTCCCACGCTCTCTCCATTGCATTGATTGTGATGTATCGAATCATATCTGAAGTTGTTGTGTCGCATTGAGTGTCACACGATCCCAGACATACACGTATGTCGACTACACTACAATCAATGTAATTGATCACCATCCAATTGTCGATTTTCGCTCTTTTTTTGTTGGCTTCTTACCGGCCTGGTAGGGATCGTAGATGGGATAGCCCATGCCGACGTGCGTATGGTGGTGCGTGTGCAGGTGGCGCATCGGCGGAGGGCTCTCCTTGCTGTTGTTGACGCCATTACCTCCATTGTTGCCACCTGTGTTGTTACCAGGCCCGGTAGCACCGCCGCCCGCTGTTCGGGAAGATCCTGCAGCCGTCGTCGCCGTTGCCGCCGCAGAGGACCCTACCCCAGCAGCTGCAGCAGCTGCTGCGGCAGCCGCAGCGGCAGCTAACCCTGCGGCCCCGTGAATGCCCAACGCTCCGGGCGCTCCTGGTCCTAACGGGCCCATCACACCAGTTAGATGGGCGAGTGGGCCCAAAGATGAATGGGGTACAAGACCAACAGGACCCCCAACCACAGGAACAGGTTGACCACCGGACAGAGCACCTATACCACTAGGTTGCGTCGGAGGTTCAGTTGATGGTCGGGGTGTTTTTGATTTAGAGGGTCGAAACGAAGACCCTGTTGCCGTTGAGGCAGATGAAGCAGAAATGGGTGTACCACTTCTGCCAACGCTGCTAGCATTACCACCGCTAACGGCTGCGGCAGTTGCTGGGGAAACTGAACAATTTGTTGGCCCGGCGACAGACGACGACGTGGGCGGCAATAGCTGTTGCTGCTGCTGCTGCTGTTGTTGAGAATACTGTTGTGAAGCAGCAACCTGCTGATGAGCGCAAGGAGAGTTCGATGCAGAAAAAAGAACGGTGAAGAAAAGTGTGTAGCAAAAATAGACAGATACAGAGGGGTAAAGAGAAAGATCAAGAAATGAGATAGAGTAGATACAATGCATACGCACAGATAATAGTAATAATAACCAATTCAGTATAAAATTTCGATATGTACATTCGATTCATTGGCATTCGCAACGTTCACGACAGTGTATGAGGTTTCATCATTCCAGTACGACAACTAACAGCCAGGTAGTGCTCTTGCTGCCGCATCAATCGTAGCAGCAATTCATTCTCGGCATGCGCAAACATTTTCCGTACATTTTACAGAGAAAGAATCAATAATAGGATCAATAACTTAGCAAACACCCTACATAGAAGGCCTTTTAGTTTCAGAGTATTTAAATTTTTCATTTCTAGCTGGTAAGCTCATACAGCAAGTTATTACGCTAACCGTCGCATTGGATCGATTGGATCATGATAGATGCCTAGTTTCAACTAGTACTCACGCTGACCTGCTGTAAAAGATCAAGAGCAGCTTTTCCTTGTTGTGCGGGCCCGCCTGGTACACCAGGAACACCGAACCGCTCGAGGTAGGCAGCGTGTGGATGATACATTGCTTCAAGACCGAATGGAGTCTGAAATGGTGCGCCAAACGGCACTCCAGGTCCACCAAGGAACATGCCGGGGGGAGCAGCCCCAAAGGGATTCCCAACACCTAGGCCGGGCGGAAGGCTAGGTTTCGGAGACGGCCCGCCAGACTCCCTGCGAGGGTCTACCGACGGAGACATCCGCTTGTGGGAAGACGAGTGCGAGAAGCCCAGCGGATCGCCCAGTTGAGCTGTAAATAAAAGCGATATTTATCTTGCAGAGTGGAAACTCTGAAAATTGGAAAGTCTCTGCTGTAGATGCAGACCAGAAATATTGTCTAAATTCATACTGATTTTTCGTCTAGATTCGCATATTCATATTAGATTTTAGGCTTTCGGATTTAACCTAGAACTAAACTAGGTAATAAAATGCGCATTTTCTGAACGATGCTTAAACGTATGCGATAAAAAAAATATTACATTCTTCAACTTCGCTTGAAAAATGGGTATTATACAATTTCTAACAGTAGCTTAAAAGTAAAGCAGGTAATTGCGTGAGTGAAGCTTACGTAAAGCCCTATTCTACTGAATTACTACATATATGCCTAAACCAGTTGGCCTGATTGATTAACGATGTAACTTTAACATAGTACCATACTTACGTAGGAACTGGTTTTGCTGCATAGCTGCATGTTGTTGTTGCTGTTGTTGTTGTTGCTGGGCTGCCTGCTGTTGTTGGGAGGCAGAAGAGACGGCTTGTGCTTTGGGTGTAAGGCGCTCTTGGGACGGTGGCGTAGCTTTACCGCGGGGAGAAGGTGACGGCTGAGGAGAATGACCCGCCATTGCCATTAGCTGGGGTGACATACCACCCATGGGAGGTAACTGACCTCCTATTGATGCAAGGGGCTGACCAGGACTCCCGGTAGGTAGTTTGAGGCCGGGATGAGGAGAGCCGAATCCTGGAGGGAACATTGGCGACGGTGGTTGTCCCATCGCTCCGGGTTTTCCACCACCAAGAGAAGCACCGGGCATAGGTGCACCTAGAGCACCCATAGCCCCTAACGAAGCCATTGGATGTCCAGGTGATGGACCATGAGGATTGTGCGGGCCCAGCATACCTGCTGCTACGCCTGGTGGCAAACCCAGATGCCCCATCGGACCGCCAACGCCGAGTCCCGCACCTAGAGGTGGCAAGCCTGATGGCGTAGACACCATAGGAGGCGGTATTTTTCCAGCACCAGCCATTAGTAATGATGACGGGTCCTTACGATCGTCCATACTTGCACCAGCTTTCACACAAAACATGTAATATAATAAAGTGAATGGAATTCCTAAACAGCCTCAAGTACAGATTCGCATGTTGAACAATATATCAGTCATTGGCTAACGAACGTGCGCAACGTCTAGAGCCCGCAGTAAAATCAACACTGATTCTATACATGTATTTTCATTAGTGGATATTTAAAGCGAAAGATTAGGTGTTCTCTACTATCCACACCAGAAACGCTTACCCGAAATCATCGTGGATGTCGGTAATTGACTAGTGCCTTTGCCACTTGCTGAACTCATGGGCGTCGTCGAAGTTTTATCTCTACTACTACTACTACTGTTTCCTCCACTGACGACGCTATTATTCGTCGCATGTTGTGCCAACATCGAATGATGCTGAAGGCCCTGATGTTGTGCTGCTAGCTGCTGCTGTTGTGTCTGATGGTGATGATGGTTGGTTAGAATTTCGCCATTATTCAATGGGCCACTAGGGACGCCGGACGACTGCTGCTGTTGCTGTACAAGGTGGTTGCTGTTGCCGCTTATACTATTGCTATTCGTAGTACTTAACTGACGCATCAGTGGTGGTCCTCCTGGAGCCCCCTGCTGCGCTAACGGTGGGGGTCCATTGATTATTGGCGCTGTACCACTGCCGCTGCAATTGTTGTTGGTGCTTGCCACAGGCGATGCGACGGGCGGTTGTTGCGCTTGCCCAGGCAGGCCGGAGGCCGCCGCCGAGGCCTCATGCGCGACCTTCTGCTGCGTGGCCTGAGTTTGACTGCCGGATGTGCCGCTACCACCACCCACGCCCGTCGATTCGCCTGATACACCCGTCGTCACAGATGCCGGCAAACCTGCGAACTGTGACGCGGGACTGGCGTTTGCCGTGGCTGACTGTTGTTGCGCAATCGTAGCGCTGTCTGCCGAAACGGCAGCTGTAGATGGTGCACCGCTGGCGACGATTGCCGCTGCAGCTGCTGGAGTCGATGAAGAGGAAATTGAGGTTGTTGTTGCTGCTGCTGCTGCTGATGTATTCGTCATTGTCGATGCTGCTGCTGATGTGGATGTAGCTACTGAGGTTGTTGTTGTTGTTGTTGTTGTTGTTGTTGCTGCTGCTGCTGTTGTTGTTGTTGTTGTTGTCGTTGTTGTTGTTGTTGTTGATGATGATGATGATGATGTGGTAGTCGTGGTGCCGGGTTGATTGTTGTCATCGGAAATGTCAGAGTAGGCAGGGCTTGGGGCATTGCCAGAAACGTCTTTATCTACGACGTCCGCCGATGACGTTGCAGCTTTCTATGAATTGGACCCAAACGACATCAGAACAAATAAAGCACACATGGAACGTACAAATGATAGTCCCGCCCAGACGACAAGACAATGCCATTAGTGAAAATAAGTCTTTCTTGAACATAAGTATATCACGGGAATAGCATTTAGTACATAGAACACATGAGATCAACCTTATTATAGAGTTAAATAAGCAGTAAAATTTTTGTCTACATATACCAACCTGAGTGGTATCATTGCAGGATGCGTTACTGTTGCTGCCTGCGGGGCTTTTGTTCATCGTTGGCTGGCCGTCGACGGAGGCGAGGGCGGATTGGCTGTTGCTGCTGCTGTGTAGGTTTGGAGTAGTTAAAGTTGTATTGCTATCACAGGTTGCGGAGCTCGTCAGCTCCTTGTCCTTGGGATCCCCACTTTTCTCGCTCGTACCGCTCTCGCTCTGTAGAATTTGAAAAAAATCAAGTTTGAAAAGTTAGTTTAATACGAGGTCTGATGGAGTGTGTTATTCTGCATAGTTCATATTGGAATCGGAGTAAGACATTTGACTTATATTTTAAGACAGCATGCCTGCTACACATGACTGTAAGGTATCAGTCATCAGTGGTAATAATTAAATACTAGTCAAAAAGTACTGCGACAACTCTATCCTAATTACTGATTGTGATCAATTACTGGTCAAAGTTATAAACTTGCCTGTCCATTTGAGCCAGTGCCTGAGGGGCAAGTCGTCAACTTAATATTGTTGTTGGAGCCCACAGCGGGCTGGTCGCTCAGACCGCCCGTTCTCATCGTCGACTCGACCCCAGCTAGCTGATTGCTGGTGGCCTGCGCTTGCGTGGGCGGTGGAGGCGGCCGGTCGTTGTGGGCATGCGTTTGATGATAGCGCAGGCCATTTAGCTGCTTGAAACGTTTAAAACAGTCCGGCTCGGGACACTCGAGCATGTTAGCCTCCTCCAGGGCGTCCTCGTCCTCCGCCATCACCCGCGTGACTCGGCCACCTGCGTGTCCGGCGTTTTCGTTTCCGCCGCCACCCCCTTTGCTCGCGCCGCCTGCTCCAGACGAAGACGACCCCTCTTTGTCGCTACTTCCGCCACCGTCTCTGCTGCTATCCCTGTCCTGCTGCTGCTGCTGTCCCGTTGCCGACTCTTTGTCCTTCACCTTGTCCTGCTGCTCTGACATCGGCTTCTTCACCTTGGGCGAGTCGGCCGCCACAGGAGATGAACACTTACCCGGGCTTGCTGGCACCGGGGTAAACGATCTCCTGCCTTTCCCTACAAGATAAGTAATAGATGAGCTAAATTAGGCATGCATATCGATAAATACTATGCGCATGAGTAGATTTCGATCCTCTACATACAAAACGAGAGAACGAGAATTTTTAATACACACTAATAACGTGAATTGTTTAGTTATTCTAGCGAAGGCTAAAATCGAATTAGAAGTAGTAAACTCATTTTCCTGCCGTCTGATAGTAACAACGGTAAAGCAGTTCCAGATATAATCTGGTACTTTCATGGAAAAAAAAATCCTTCATACATGTGCATCGGGTGATGGACGCGCTTTTTAGGACTGTCAGTGGAACAAGAATGCTGGGAGTACTATCTAAAGCAATGCTTAATGGCAATACGGAGTGCTAAACTAGAAAGCACTTATTTTAACACCAGTAAGGCAAAGGAGTAGAGCACGTACCATTCCGCAACTTGCTGAGATTGTTGTCCTCCGACCCGCTGAGAGTGCGGGCTTGACCGGTTCGTTTGGCTCTGCCACCGAACCCGAGGCTGCGGTTACGCTCTTCGCTTTCGTCGGTGAGGCGAGGCGGCGCCCAATCGTGCCTCGTCGCGTCCAGTAGCGTGCCTACGTAGGTTTTCCCTCGCCACGTCACATTGACCACCAGTACGCCTGAAACAGATATTCATTATAATAAGCCTATTTATTAATTGTTAAGCACGGTAGACCGTATACATATACACCCATACACATAACTGCTCCTCATTGTAAATCTAGTTGCCCAATGTCACATTGGTGTTGGGTATAGACACATCCTGCTATCTCAGTACGACCAATGTACGAGGTTGGTTAGAAAATTCCTTGGTTGAAAAGTTGAAACCTACAATTGGCGCTAACGTCAGATCGGCCGATTCTACGTAGTAAAAAAAATTCAGGATAATTGGTTTAATTTTTAGATGTGTGCTCTATTGCTTGCGAAGCCGCACGCATATGTGCAATTAGCGTTATCACTTGCCAATTGTGGCTTAATTGCTTTAGAGCCGAAGGTTTCAACTTGAACGATATACCACGCTCGGGACGTCGGCAAGAAGCGAAAGATGATATCGGAAGCAAACGACGCCGCCTTGACTTAGAGATGTTCACATGTTCGAAAAATACAATAAATTGAAGTAGCTGAAAAAACAACGAAAACTTCCTTATCAACTTAAGAACACATCCCCTAATTTTCACTTACTTCATTCGCTTGGCCTTACTTACCTCCTTCAGTTTCCTGCCAGACAATGCCTTCCAGCAATACACTCGTTCCCGGTTCACATACGCCAAGAGAATCAGGTTCCGTGACAATGCCGACCGAACTGCATAACGTCCCCTGTTCACGAGTAGCTATCGTTGCTTTTACTCCCTCTGGCCGGTTCGTCCGAAACACGCTTTCTGGCGCTGAAATCGATGGGCCATTTTGCTGTAGCAGCTGTTGTTGCTGCTGCAGTTGTTGGTGTTGCTGCGATGACGCCGGCCCGCTAGTTTGATGTTGTCCGTTCGCGTTCCCATTGAGTTTCGACGAATGTTGTTTGCTCCCAGATACACCGGTCGTACATGACGGTGAATCTTTACATTGTGATCCACCTCCGCCGGCAGTACGTTCGTTCGTCGAACTACTATTAACATTAGTATCAATGCTAGCACTGCTGTCCCCTCCTCGTAAAACGCTCAACTCCTTTGCTGAAACACTAAGTTGGCTAGAATTTCCACCAGCCACGCCACTACTACTGTTGCTGCTGTCCTTCGACGAGTTACTACTGTTATCTTTGTCCCTATCACGGTCCCGCTCCTTTGCCTTTTTGCTTTTTGGGTGTGGGGCGTCATCTTCGGAAACGATCTCGTGCCGTTGGCTGCCTCCTGTCGAGTTTACCGATTTTCGCTTGATCTTCATCTTAAGTCCTTTGGTGTTGTCGGCTGGTGATGCGACGTGACTATCGAGTGGAAGACCCGACGATCCCAGCGTTGCACCACCGAGAGCAGCAGCGCCGACACCGGCGATCGATGCGACGCTTTTAAGCTCCGCCACAACCGCACCGCCGCCATCTAAATACACAAAACAGAAGACCGGTAAATAAGCAGAAAAGCAAAATCAGTATAAGCGTAATCAGAAGTAATATACAAAGGTAACTATGCTGACACATCCCAGAGGAAAAGTCCATATAAAATGACAAAGCAAAAGCAACGAAGTTATCTTTCAATAACGTATCACAAAATGACGATGACACTAGTGGTAGACATTCCATTCGGTGGGGTCTGCTTTTTATTGATAATTTAGCCTTCGACATCTAGGTCGTTATAATTATCCTTGCGAAGAATCTATGAAAATGAGCGATGTCTTTTATAAAAACTTGTAATTTTGGGATTATTAAGATGCAGTTTTTACCCTCGTTTGTTGTTTTATTCCTTGTCAATTCCCATAGTCAGTCGTTTATAAGCGTGACCACTATTACAATTACAATTGCCAACGCAATTGCGACAGACGTTTTAAAAAACTAAAGGCTCTATAACTGCTGAATTCTTTACTTTACGGAAAAGTTGTAACCCCGCTTATTAGCTGACTGAATAGTGCTAGTTACGAGGATCTTGAAACGAGGACTTTAACGGACCTCTATAACCGGTTCATCACATTTAAACGAATGAAAGCTTCCTGAGATCGGATAAAAAAAATTCAACACGATAGCATATCTCGGTAAAACCGGGTTAGATAAAAAAAAAAAAACAACTGAAATAATTTGAGACACTTTTTGTTTCTGAAATATATTCTTCTATATAGAAAATAAATGTATCAAACAGAAATAAATGAAATGATGAATAAACTGGTCTATGCTACGGCTTTGTCATCGTCTAAAACGCAAGTTGATACTTATGAGAGTGGCTTTCAAAAGCTTCCGTTTCAAATATCACAGACTTACCGGAGGCAACGTGTGAGGCCATGTGTGAAGACTCCTACCGGCACCTGCCGGGTTTCTGGAGGGCCGCGCCACTAGACGCCGTCCACACAACACGAAACCGCGCCCATTGCAGATGCAAGGCAGAGTGAGCACCTGCAAGAATGTTGTTGCTGTACAAGTACACCGCAGTCGACGTTAATGACGTTGGTGCGAAATGGTGCTCTCGCTTCTGGTTTTTCTGTCAGACGTGCCAGCACGACCGAGACGCAGCTGATCCTATTTCAGGACAACACGATCAGCTCGATATTCTGAACAAACTCGACAATCCTTTTTCTTCTATCTAGCAGGCTCGACAAACTTCACCAGCAGTTGTGGTCACGGTGTACGCCAACAGTAGTGTTCAGATGGCTTATACGAAGAGGCCTTCAATTGGCGAAACCTCTTTTCGTGGTAGCAGCAGCAGCTCTGTGCCGGAGATCTGCGTCGGCTGCTCCTCGGCCGAGTGAGGCGTCGCCCGCCTCTCGTTCACATCACATGACACGACCGACGAACTCGAGGCCGATCTGACCACAGACGGCTCCACCGCACACTGCAATAATCGTCCACAATGCATGAAATAACAGAACGTAGGTTTTCAAGGTTTGAAGGTGATTCATGTCCATAACAAGTAGGGGCCCAAGTGCGAATGTGTTATTGAAATGTATACAACATGTATGTGCCGCATGTGCAATGTGGAATAGCGACCAAGAATACCTCGTTGATCTCATATATCTATCCACACTAAATGAACTATTATTCATAGTTCACATTTACTTCGCTGTGCTACTGTTGATTCTATTTAGAATAATACGTAACGTTTTATCTAAACCGTGTAGCTCAAGTCTAGTCCGAAAAAATAGACCTTGATGCAACCTGCGACATGAAACCGTGTTTTAACTTTCTTGTTCGGCAACAACAACAACGAAAACCAACAATAACAAAAACGGACAACAATATAAGCAGGTACGTACAACCAACCTGAGAAAACCAGAGGGAGCTATGAATATTCTCTAAAGCTACAGCGACAATGAGTAACGTTAGTAGTAAAATCTCGTTGCTCGGAAGTTACCGGAAGCGCCTCCGGAAATGCCCGACATATAAGCGTGAGACTGGAGAAGCTCCTTTTTTAAGTCGGGTTTTTCATCATAACACAATGTTTGTTAACATCTCACATGCAACGGTACCTGCCTAGATAGCGTATGTTTATCCCTTCTGTCAAAACATCAGTCAGCCGCGACTAAATCATAAAGTTAATCGGTGAGTGGGTCCATCATGGTTAGTACATGATTCAATAGCTGGATGATTGAAATTGAATAGATTAGTAACGGAGGGACATGATTTAGAACATGAACGACCTTTTGCAATATATTAGGTAGACACGCAGCCAAAATAGGGCGTAACGTATAAAAATAACGTTGGCATTTTGCCTCTTAATAATGCGTGTGTATACAAATGAATACGGTAGAATAAGCAGTATGAAAGCAATGAGATCTGGCTTTTATGATATGTGTTGTATCACTGAATCGTAAAGCGAGCCATGAGTAAGCTACTCAGTAAGCTACAAATGGTGGCCAGTTTCATATCCTGACGATTATCCACAGTATTACCTTAACCCTCACTTTTTCTGAAGTAGACTTCGTTTTCTATAATCGTATTATGATTAAAACGCATAAATACATCTACAAAAATCTTTCACAACCCATTTAATAGTTGTAAGGTGCTGATTCATAAGAATATAACTCAGATATGCTCAAATAGCATTGTTCTCACATATCTCTACTCCTGTAAATTTAAACAACAAATATATAATTACCGATTGCTACTTTTATTATTCAATGCTAAGCGGGTAATCTACGTTTATTTTGACTTCCGTCCGTCTAAACGCAACCTTAAATAATCCTACCTTAATATTGAAACACTCGCGATTTTGACAGTTGAAATTAATGGTCTACAACAGCATCTTCGGCATTTTCGGCTGATTATGCTTTGAATGACCCTTTTTGTGCTCGCCACTTTTTCACCACAAATCATTCATTGCGCAATCGTGTGTGTTAGCTCTGTCTTACCCACTTACCAAGTAAAGACTTTCAAGAAGACAAGGTCTGAGTACAAAAAGGGTGAAAATGAAAAAGCGACTAAATGACAGCGAACGGCAACATCTTATTGGTACTGCTCTTACTCGAGCTACTCACACACGTATCCAGACACACCGGCTGACGTGCAGCTGTAATTCATGGGATCGTCTCTTTTGCTTAGAAAAACACCGAACTGGCATGACTGGCATGACGTAAATACCCAACGATTATCAAAAATCACACCTCTGCCATTAAGCGATTTCGCAACCGGATAAAAATTGTCATCAAGATTGTATGTTAATAACAATAATACCACTGTAGTGTAAATATTGTCGTTCATCTGCATTGGCGGGAGAAAGTATCAATCGATGTTCTAAATGAAAAAATGTTTCAAACATCTGCCTTCACTTAACGAAGCGGAATTAAAATGAATCAAGAGTGTAATTAAAAACAGATTCAATACTATACGATCAGCCCTGAATTTCGACTGATACTAAGAACTGTATCGGAAGGTCAAACCTCAGCGGCAACTGCTTTCACTACAATTTGGTTCATTTATACCATCAATTTAACGGCAATTATTTGTCGACAGAATAAGACAATGACGATGGATTATTATTATTAAGTAATTCCCCAGTTTGGAAATGAAGTGTTTTCATTTCCATTCAACCTATTGGTGTCGATTCAGATAGCTACCAATAGTGGTGACGGTGCTTTCGTGCTCAGAGCGCATACTTCGAACTTTTTTTTGGTTTGCTTTTATCCTGCTGCCTTACCAGCTGCTGCAGTCTACAATCATTCTGGCACTGTCAATCGCCACTTGGCGTTTCATGGTTCCTTACGACAATTCCGCATTGCGAGCAGCGTTCCATTGGCACACGGACGAACCACAACGCTGTTCTACCACCGACGCTGGTGCTCCCGCTTTGCCGGCGTGTTAAACGCATCCCCGCCAGTGTCCTCACGGCGCCACAATTCAAGGACACACGTGCCGTCGGCCCCAACGTTTTCTAGCCCTCCCGACGCTTTTCTTGGCAGGAATACAGCTCACAGAGTTTGCCGAAGGCACAGACGTTTTTTGTGGTTAAAAAGACCGCTGCGGCATGACCAGGTCGTTCGAGGGGTGACAACAGTCCCTGCAACACTGTGGTATAACATAGTCAAAGGTACTACTACCGACCGATAATGATAGTAACGCAGTTTTGTTAGCTCTAATAGCTCATGATGTCGATGAAAATAAACAACGAGAAGCTCCTGTGTGACCAATTTTAATTCATCAATTAATAAACGTGGAGTGTATAGCTGGATCATAATTATAATGGTTTTTGTTTAAATTGGAAATTAATAACGGTACCTTTAACAGCGTTCCCCCAGACCCCATCACGCGACGACGCTCAACAAGAACACAAACAACTATAGCGGCTCAAAAATGAAACTACAGTTTAATTGATTTAGCAAACAAGTAGTCTCTAGCTAAATTTTGCCGAAAGCACATGAACCAGATCGTTTAGCGAACACGCATAGTAATTCTTGCCCAACAACTCTCGGTAGAGAGTGGCACGAAAATGTTGAATATGGTTGCTTTTACACCGCAGTGGGTCATGTAACCGAACTCCAAAAGGCACACTTTCGGCAATATTCTGATAAGTCGCTGATATGAGCAATTACGCTCAGACTCGCCGTTCGGCTATTTTCACACGAACGTTAGCAACTTCAGTTCACGACCAAATTCCGATGCACCCTCCCCAAAACATTACGTGCGAGAACGCTCGGCTTCGCGAGTTGCCGCGCCTCGAAGAGAGTAAAACGACGTACTACTTACTACACGGCTACCTACATCTGTATATCCGAGTGCCGCTCACCCCTGACTCTCGTCGACTACTCCCTACTACCCCAAAATAGATGCAGGTGGCTATCACGACGCCGAAGCACGCGTTTACGGGCCTTAAGTGGCAATCGAGACTGCGCTGGAGGTCCACTGTTCAGGGGAAGGGGAGGTTCACGACCTTGATAGCTTTTCTCTTAGCAAGCAAACCAACGCACACAAATCGTCACTCACATTTGCTCGATCGCTGAACAAGCAACTACACAAAACAAATCTCTCTCGTGAATTATCGTGACCACACAATCCACATAATAAGTAAGCGCAACACCGCACATCGACCCATAAACATCGACACATTCAAGCAATAGGCCTGGCTGTAAATTTCGGGTTCGATTCCGCTAATACGAACGACGAAATTTCAATCGTAATAGCTTACACACATAAAACATACTATTACATACACTAAATGAATGCCGCGACACCGACACCGCGATCAGCATAATCATAACAGTAGCGAAGAGGGTACGCTATCGAGCTGCAAGCATACCCCCTCCTCACACGAGACGGAGATCACACCGGACTGACTGGCCTCACTGAGCTACACGAATCGTGTTTCGAAGCCAACTGGCTTGAGCGATGATGGAATCTCAAGCGATGTCGAAAGACGTCATTGCGGTAAAACGGGAGTGGGCAACACAATCTCGCAAGAACACCATCGCCAACGATATCCGACCAGGCTACTAGGAACGATTCAACCAATAGCAGCAGCAGCACATTAGCAAAATCAAGAAGACTCCGATAATAGCCACAGACTTTACAGACACTGAGGGGGCCCGGGCAAGAAGGACAGAAAACGCCTGGCGCGGGATTCCGTCCGTTCTAGCGAGCACTTGCCACAAACCTGGGACACTTCGTTGACGAGGGGCACATAGACGCACTGCCGCCCGAGCTTCTTTGCGATGATTCGACAGGCGCTCGCACACATACAGATCAAGCACCAGCAAAATCTACGAAGCGGACAACCCCCGAAACATCCCTTGTTTTCGTTGCTTTGACTAGCCCACAGCGACAGATCAAAATACCCCAAAGCGTCCTCAGCTCCCCCTCCCCCGGGCCAAGATAAACGCATTGCGCGAACACTCGGGCCGACGACCCAGTAGCGCGCTAAAATTTGAGATGGCGACAGGCAATAGCAGAGTAATATAATAACATAAAGACTGAGGTCAGCAGGAACTCTGTGTTACAGCTAAAGGCGTGTGGGAATATTTTGGGGTAAACATTTGATGGAGATTCGAATTTATGTTTATCGAATTCATTAGGCAATCAATAAACGCATCAATCGACCGCCAATTCTTGTACCCGACCCCTTGAATATCGTTAACAGCCAACCGAATTGTGTATCCCAACCGAATCACGATTGGAAATGATTGTTCCATCTAGTTCTCATCTAAAAATCATTTTACAGATCGGTGTTTCTGTGGTTCATGATACATAAAAATAATACATAAAGATGATACGTAAAAGCAGAAGTCTGCATTGCATAATGTTGCTTTTGATCGTACAGACCTGTAGTACCTCACCAGCTGCAGCAAACGAGAGTAGATCATTATGTTCATTACGTTCATTCCGACAATATCGGATAGTAATAATATTCAAGGCGAATGAATGCTCCTGAACTAATTACTCATCAAACTCGTATTTATTATAGCTTTCGTATTTTATGCTTTTCCTCGTATTATCACTAGATAACTCTGTTCTTGGTTGCTCTCAGTGTATACCCATCGTGAACGCTGTGATCCCCTGCGCAGCTGGTGTCGCGCCCGCTCTGATCGCTACCTAAGACTCTGTGTAGCCCTGCGCTGCCCAAGAAGGTTCACAGCAACAGCAGTTGCCGCGGCACTAGCGTCTCGCCTTCGAAGAGTTGAACGAACATGACCGTTTGCGACCGACCGCAAAAACACGGTGAAGTGGGGTAGGTGGGGTGGTTTTCTTAGCTGTACAAGTATGGTCACGAAGAGGCGGCGGCGGCGGTGGTGCCGGCGGCGGCGGCATTCACTAGAAGCAAGCAAATGGTCGTTACGAGGAATAGCATTATAACGAGCGTATGGGCTGAGGAAAGCAAGAGCATGAGGACCTTGTGTACATATCGACTCATATATCAGCCGTTGCAGTATCAGCGGCTTAGTCAAGGAGATCAACGCCAAGTGCACTTCGAGCGTAGCGACGAAGCAGCAGCCGGAGACGGACCAAGGGTGATGAGCAAACATACATACACACATACATACATACACACACACACAGACACCCACACACACACCCATAGATACAGGCCTATGCGAGAGCGGACGTAAAGAAAGCACACACATACATAGTGCTGTAGATAGATAGATGGACGTGAGGAAAAAGGAGAGTACAAAGGTTTTTATAATGGTGCTCTTACGGCCGTCGCTGTTATCTTGTCTTCGTCAATGGATAACGACGACAGCAGAAGTCGCCCTCTGTTGCACCATCGACTGGTCTCAGAGTGCCATTGTCTCTTGCATTGTAACGTAATCAGTCGAAGCGTTAGGCTCGAATATAGTCGAAATAGTCGAAACAAATTAAGGGAAGGCCAGTAACACAGAGATCCGCTCGTTCGCTCGCTCACCCACTCACTCGCCGGCCTGAGCAGGGATAACCAGGGGGAGAACTAGTTTGCAAGGTTGGAGGTTGAATGAGGGGTATGGTGACAACAAAGCGACAGAACTGATTCACTAAGAATACAACACACATAACTGTTAATGGGTGATTAAGACGAGGGATGGATGGCGGTTACTGCTTACGGCGTTGAACCGAGTATGACAGTTGAATGCTGAAAATTTTGTAACAATATCAAAGAATCCTTCATCCATGATTTCATAGGAATTGTTAATTAATAACCAACACCCGGTTGATATTAATTAAAACGCTTGGCTTACAATGAGGATTTTTTGGTTTTTTGTTAATTTCACATACAGTGTTCTGTTACGAAATATTTAAAAGGTTTTAAAAGGCCAAACAGATCATCTCTGATGAATGAATACTCGTATACACAGGGCACGGCAATTAAATGAGCAAAAAATATCGGCTCACTGTTATAACGAGCACGCGTCAACGGATGTCCAAAGAAAGAGCAGGTTTGCTTTGTCCTAAAGGAGAACCTAGTCTTTCTCGAACCGACCATTTATAATATTATTGCCAGCTTTCAGATAGCTTTCCAAAAATTTAAGGAAAATTTAACATAAATTAATTAAGGTAGACCGGAACAGACTCACAACGTTTTCGATTTAAAGGGCTTAAATATTAATAAAAGTGGCTCAAAATAATACTTTCTATAGAGAAATTCGCGGCTGTTTTAGAGAAAAAAATATGAATTGTCAGTTGAGTCGTCCAAATATGGTCTAAAAGTTAGTCTTCTTATGTTTTTTTCTAAGATTTTTTGAACATTTAAATTTTTTAAGCTTTTGGCGGGCTTTAAGTTAAGGATTCATTCTGCTGAAATTTTCTACGCATAGCATACTTGACCTACAATACCGCTTACGCATGCCTACTTGAAATTTTATTTGCGAAATAAGAAATAAAAAACTTGTTTTAGGAATAGAGTAGTGAATGGAATAGATCCAAAATTAAAGCCGTAGTTATGATAACGGCTGGTTACGTTGAACACGCGTAACTCTACGGATGACGCTGCTAGCGCTAAAACGATCCTTGAATCAGTTGTTTTAGTTTCGAAATACAGTTTTAGAAATAGAGCTCCCAATTTGGCTGTTCTATTCCGTGTATGTTGTCTTATTCCCCCATGGTTTGAGTAAGCTTTTTTTATTTTACGACGTGTTAAAGACCATTTTGTCGTCGTCAAATTATGATAATTCTTTCTCTTACTGCAGAGTTTGTTAAATTAACCGCTTTTTTGAAGCGCTTCAATGGCTGGCAGATTATAACCTCGAGGTGCCTACCCACTTACTCTTCAAATTAACTAGTGCTAAGTAGCTTTTCGGAATGACAGGTTTTCTTCATTTTTTGAACTGGCACCTAAAAATTAGGTCAGTGATGCGCCCCGTGGTGAGAAAGCATTTTCTACGACAACGTATGTTCTGGGCCAATACTGCGGACCAGTGCAAAAGTGTGTATTTGGGCGCGTACACGATTTAGGGGGGTACACGGGGATTTAGGAATTATTATGAATTACTTTTCCTGGTTGCTGCGTGACACCGTTCCAATATGGTGATGTCTATAGCGTGAAAATCGAAAATAAATGGTATATTAATTAAACGGTCGTGATCATTTGATTCGTTCTGAGTGTTCTGTCTTTTTCTAGTACAGGAACTTCTCGTCTTCCGTAAATGTTTGATTTGTATGCACAGAACCAATTAGTAGTAGGAACACGAATCGTTTTATATGTTAATCCGGCTGACATTAGCGAAGCATACATACATAGCACACGGATACATGCGGCGAACGACCGTTAGGAAAAATATGAAATGCTCCTTTGCGGGTCTTAACTGCTAGCACTCAGGATAACTCAAATCAGTCCGTGAAGCACCATGGAGACGCACGTGCTAGCATTGTTCGAGCTCTTTATTGTGACAGTCTGCACGGCCATAGATGATAGAAACATCGAAGTCATCTTTGAGAAACTGAACAATATTACTGATGAATTTAATGCTCGAGCGAAAATGGCCGTCGCTAGAGGAGCTACGATAGTCCCTGGCAGCGTCCCTCGAAGTGATATTGAGGACCAGTTAAAAAAGGTTAATATCTCTCAAACACTTCGAGGATGGTTGGAGCTATTTGTTACGACGGAAGGAAACATCGCCGCCAAGGATATGGATGAAGTTATCGATCTGTACAGCAGTGCAGAAAAAACTGTATTCAGTGGACTCGACAGCCTTTATGGTTATGCTACTAATGGTAGCATATCAACAGAAAAATTGGCAGATGCTACCCTCACTACCTTGCAAGCGTCCCAAGATGTCAGCTTGTTGACCTCTCATCTGTTCATGAATCTGATCGAATTTGTGGAACTGTTTAGTCCAGTGGTCGGCTTGGACAACCTGATCGCAGGGACGCCAGCTTTTTTGGACGAATATAAACAATTGAATCTGTGCCTTCAGCGACTGCGTAACCATTCTGAAGGCCAGAGTGGCAAGCCTTGTTACTTTGAAGCCATTAAAGCTATTCAAGGAATCATGCGTGATATCGACACGAGTAACTAAGAAAACCCTACCTCTTAGCTGACAGCTAATATACGTAACTATGTGCCCTTCTTCTAGAAAAGTTCATGTATAGGACATTGTGTCTCAATGCTTGAACGTAAGATCGAAGTTAGAAATCTATGCAACACATAATCAAAGTATACTAAATAAATGCATGGCCTAGTGATACATAAAACAATTCGTATGTCTTAACTTCACAAGCAGCGACACAGGGCTACCGAATTGAGTAGATGCAAATTGCGGTAAGCGTGATCTTGGGTAAATGACGAGAATTTCTATAAAACTGAGACCCGTCACGTTACAAGCATAGATTTCCACGAAGCTCTAAGATGTCGCCCTGTGATATATACGCCCAACAAGCAGAATACTCAGTGAGAGATGAATGGGTTCGGGTCCACCAACAGCTGACTTTTTCCATCTATGTGGGATAAAATACATTTCCGTGTGCTATAGACTGGCGATTAATTATTATTCAACCTTCAGTGAAACCACTTTTAGTATGCCTCTGGCTATTTATCCTACACTACAGGCTATGAAGTTTTGCTAGACAACGAGTGGGCTGTGAATAGTATCACTGCCCTCTGTAGAATAAACAACAATTTGAAAAAGTTCTTTATTTTCACTCTAGATTTCCCGTATATTTTAAAGTTAGCTCTCCCTACCACGACTGCTCCAAATAAAAACAATTTATATTTTATGCCATTTTATTATAAACTTAAACTGATTGATACTATATACTCTAGTTGATGTCTTTTTCTCAAAAACTTAGTTTTCCAGGAACTGCTCGTGGGAGTTCAACTGAATAAATACATTTGTGAAAATCACTGTAATATAATTACATAACCTTATTACTAATTGTTTAATCTAATAATATAATGTTAGTGTTAATTATAATAACAATCTTATAGTTTTCATTTCGAATAGAATCCTATACTTACAACAACAGGCCATGCGATCCGGGGCACCGTGTACATCCTGCGGTTTATTCCTGCCGCTATTTCAGAGTGGCAACAGTCACTGATGTTGTATTTTTTACATATATAAGAGACGCATCTGCGAAAATAACAATGGTTGTATATTTATATAAGTTGTGTATTTCGTTAATGGCTAAATTTGCTCAAGCAGCCTGTGTAGTTCGGGGCAGGACATCACTGATTTGCTTTTGACCACCACCATTGTCCGAAGTCGGCGTCTCTCTCTTTGTCACCTCCGTCCCCTCCTTCACGTTGAACGGTTACCCCATCACTTTAATGTCTGTCTGCTGTCTGCCAGCATATCGAACGGACACTATCTTCGTGCTGAAATTTGTCTCCTGTTCATCGTTGATATAACATGTATCGTATACACACATACACATAATATATATATGCATACATATGTATATGTGTGTATTCCTTATTTTGTTTAAATTAGGTTTATTCTGTGTTGTCATCGTTATACCATACGGATATGAAACTTCTGGTGTTTATTCCATACTCAGCTTTCGATGACTGTGTTTCGTTCACGCCCGTACTATCATGCTAATCACTTATACGAATCGAGCGGCTAGAAACGGATGTTTAAACAGCCATTGAAACATTGCTGGCGAGGTTTTGGTACGCGGCGGGCGTTTGTGTTTCTTTTGCGTAACTGAGAAACATTCACTATGTCCTCGTTGGGATGGCCAACTGCTATACCGTTAGTAATGTCATTGGGTCGCTGTTCGTTATGCTAAATCAATAGCTACATTCGTTGTTATCGGGTCAATTAAGCGTCCTTAGTAACGATTGTGTCGACGATCTGCCCGCGTATAGGGCAGCCTGGTCTCTATTTTCCACTATATAGCTCCTCGCAAGGGTGCCATTTGCTAATGGAAAAACATGACCGAATTTATTTGGGGAAGTCGAAAAGCACGATTCCATGATACGTAGAACGTCAGCAGACGTGAATACGTCGTTACGGTATAACGCAACGAGCATTTACCCGCTATAGTATTTCTCTAGCTTCACGTCAGCTTCAATAATCTATAATCGAAATTCGTTACCACGTAGTCGTAAGGGTGTTTTAAGGAATAGTTGGCGCAAACGTTTTAATCATAGTAATTTATTCCTCCGATACACATCCTAGTCAGGTGAACTCCATTATCTCTGATATCATCAGCCTAGAGGAGGCGTGTTATTTTCGACCTTGCTTCCCTCTATCGAAGATCCACGCTATTTATTGACGCCGACGCATGTTAAAATGATCAATATTAGGATGAATGATTTTATGTGGTCCGTTCCATCCGTTAGGTAGAAAGAAAAGCCGTTAATGTGTTTGTATAGCCTGCGTTATCTAACACCTCCGGCCAGTTTTGTGAAGCGGCCGTTGTACACGCTTTAATACAGTCCCACTATATTATATCTATTTGTCCGGTACTAACGCTACGATAGTTTTGCTAATAATAACAGCAGTAGTAGTTAATAACAGATTATTAGCTAGATGGTCATGAAAGACAGATTTGTATTGTATTCCCTTTGAGAAAGTTCAACGGCTGCTATGAGACGACGGTCCACAAAGTAGTCTATTGCTTCATTGGTAACAAGTGTATGATGGATAAAACGCGTGACACGATCTGTCACGCATCGTCGCACTCTTCACTTTTACCGCTGCCGCTTTGTTGTGATTAATTTGGTGGGAGACGGTTGACATCTACCGTTAACCATTGGTATCCCGCAGCAAGCGTTTGTTGTTGACGATTGATGGTGGAAGTTGGTTGGTTCTGCTTGTGTCAAGTTTTGCTTATGCCTGTTGCCGCCGCTGCTGTTGTTGTCTTGTGCTAGACTTGCAATCGCATTCTATTGCGCGGCGACGAGCCGCTATAATCGTTCTAGATTCCCATGCAAGGCGATCTGCCCCCTCGCTGGATGTTCCGAACGGCTACAGCGGCGACGAGCGCTGCGCCGCGACCACTGCCATCCTCAGACAACATCAAGTCAAACTGTCCGTCATGAAATAAACGAAAAAGAGGGCAAAATAGTTAGATTTTCTTTAGCCTATGCAGTACAAAGTAGGTACAACTTATTGTTTGTCGCAAGGAAAAGCAGTATTTACTTTTGCCTGTAACGAGGCGATCGCTAAGCAACATGAACAAACGTTTTGAAATAAAGATTAACTAGGAAAGGCTGCATCGTGACGGACACTAGTGTAGGTACTATTATTTTCAGAGCGACGCATTGCCCCGTGTGTTCACCTTGTAGTCGGGGTTGGTAAGTTCTGCGATCTTCGCTTCCATCAACTGGTGGAACTTCGGGTGGTAACGATAGACGGAGCCGTCAACGCCTACTGTTGTATGTGGCCTTTTCATTTTGTTAAGCACAGTGGCGATGGCAGCCGATACCAGGTGGGCAGCCCGGGACGATACCCGCGAAACCACCAGTTTCAAACACTGGCAATCGTCGTCGCTGCCGATCTGGTCCAACTTCGCAAGCACTTTGCGCGTCTCATCAAAACAGCCCTTTTGGTCACTCTCGATCTCTGAGATGTACTTCGTTTTAAAAGCATACGGCGTCTTCATCTTCTGCGAAAGTCGACCATTGAAAATGAGGTGTTCGTTAGCCAGCCGGACTACGACACGTCTAGCCAACTCGCCCATGTACATACCGCTAATCATTTTTTCGAACTTTTGATGTGAGGGATTGAGCGAGTGCTCATCGACTTCGATGTCGTACTGTGTCCGGATGAAGTCGATCACGCCATTGTCGCCGAATGCTCCCCACTCTGTATTTATGATTACCTGGCGAGGCTCCTTATCATCGCCATCCCATAATTGACAGTTCTCAATTCGTTCCATATAGCAAGCGTTCGCGCCGGTACCAACAATAACACCGAGACGGCACTCTTTGTTCCTATGCGCGCACGACATTAGCGTGCCAGTCGTGTCGTTAACAACCGCCATAACATCGATCTGAACATCACCTCGACGAGCGATTGCCTCCCGCAGGAGTTTCACCACATCCTCACCTTCGACGCCACTACACTTGAACCCTTTCGTCCAAGTAACAAGACGAGCCCGTGTTAAACCTTCCTGCCGGCAGGGGAACGAAAATGTGAAGCCTAGTGGTAGACGCTGGCCATAGATACCACGCTCTGTATTGGGCACATTGACAAAACGGGTATTAGAAATTTTAATGTACTAAGCATATATATATACATACATACATATATACATACACGCTGTATTAAAACATGCAATACTCCGAGACCTTCGAGTTTACTAGCCTCTTACCCATGGAGAAGGTAGCCAGACACTCGGCAATATGGTCGAACAGCTGAGTTCCTGTACCAAGCATAATTTCTTGAGGAACAGCGTAGATAGCATTGTCCATTTTGAATTTGTCACCATCAATTTCGATCAGTAGCACACGGAAGTTGGTGCCGCCCAGATCCAAAGCAAGGAATCGTCCACTTTCTGCAAGCCAAAAAAAATACAGAAATAAAAGACCCTTGGTGGTAGACAAGTATTGCCTCGTGCCTAAATAAACGCATCTAAAGATTTAAATTGGCATTGTCATTGGCGTACCATCGACGATTTCTTAATTTAAGCTTATCGAACTAAACTATCATTTCACAAGTGGCATTTCCTGTTCTACAATTAGTTCTACTACAGACTGGAGACCGCGCTTCAGAAAGCGCACCGCCATATCATTCGAAGGGCTGCTTATAACACATCATATTAATACGTTTCGCTCACTGGTGCCATACAAACGCTCGCGCGTTACCAAATCGCAAGTCCTGGGCGGTGTGTAACTAATCCGACAAGGCTTCAAACGGAAGATGATGAAAGCGCGAAATTACACCGCCAAAGATTCGGTGCTATTGTCATGGTCAGCCTACTTTGACGGCCGAGTGCGTGCTACTTACCGCTTCCGTCCGGTACATCACGCACGTACGTAATATACTGTTTGACGTCCGCCTTCGCATGTGTCTCCTTATTGAGTCCGTTGTTGAGTTCCTTGAGCAGACACGTCATCACCTTTTCAAGCGTATCATTGGATAACTCGAGCTCGCGAGTGATCGCCTCAACCTGATCATAAGAAGGAGAACGTTTAATTGGATGCTCTATCGATGTGAAGGGCTGTGCCTTCCCTGACTGACTCCCCATGGCTGTTGATTTTGCGGCCTGTAATGCCCGTCGAGATTTAGCCGACTTCGACCGACCACCAGGCAGAGTTCTACTAGACAGCCATTCTGCAAGCTTGCCGCATAAATTTGCTAGGTAACAGCTAACAAACGTGATAAACATTTTGACCAACAAATCGCAGATCACTATTTAGATGATGGCTATATTCAATTTTTGACTATCAATCACCACAATTTTGGCTTGTCGTCCTTTGAGAAATATCAGATCTTGACACTTCCAGACAATAATGAAGTAGATCAGATCATTATCGAATAGTTTTAACTAGGACTTTTCTATTGCACACCTGCGAAGGCCTACTTCGATTTGCCAATGAATAACTATCATTAATTATGAATATATCACATGGTGCAATATAATAATGGCAGTGTTCCCTCAAGACGCCAACCCTATGGCCAACTCTACCACGAAAACGCTAGCCCGACTATATGATTTGACTGAGAATATAGTCGAGATGAACCGCAAAAATGCATTGAAATCGATGTGGCTATTTTGTACAGGAGTTTCATTCTCGCAAGTTAACTGTTAAATTTTTCGGGTATTAGCCGCAGACACGCCTGCCAACTAGCCGGAAATAGGTCACATTATTAGTTCGAAAATCGTTTCGATGTAAGGCCACTTGAGTAGGTTAAGCGGACATATATAGCATTCAACGCTCGCCGGCCAAATGCAGTAAACTAAGACCGATTCCGGCGTAATTGTTATTTAACGTTGTTTAGAATACAATCTGATTGCGAAGTCTTGGAAGATCTTACCTAACAGAACAATGATGCCCGGTTCCGTTGGTTTTGTTTACCTATAAGAACTTGCACTTAGTATTAGTGAGTGTCCGCGGTAAGGTAAATGTGTCATCGTTCTGGTGAAATGAGCTGATAGAAGCTTGGCCGCTGCCAAGTTAAATACGAACGATAACTTCACTGGTCCAGAGAGTAGATTTGCTTGTTGCAGGGGGTACTGGCTTGTAAATAGTGGTTTTGGCCAGCGGCAGAAGCAAAGTCTGTCGTAATGTGGGAAGTTACGTCGGAAGTTATAACGATACTGGCTGACCCACGAATGCCAGACAGCTTAACTCAAAGAATCCGAGAGAGGGGAGTAATCGATTCATTAATGCTATGGCAATGATGTGTTATATAGTCACTATCCTCTAGAAAACACGCGAAGACCGCATAAATAATGTAAATGAACAAACATATGCATATAGGGAGAGTGGTTCAGTTCTAGCAGCATCAATACCGACACGACATATAAAGAAGCCGGCTACAACAACCACTAGTTCAATACGCTTGTACCCGTTTGGCCTTTCTTGCAATAGGACGAGTTAGAAGAAACACCGTACACAACTTCACAGTGCCTGACATAGGGATGGTGTCTGTGCAGCAACTAAATACGCCGAGAACTTTGATCTAGCTCTTAGTTAGTTGTAGGCTGGATAAACGCGTACCCACCGAGGTAGCTCCACGCTGGTTTATACGCGTGGTCAAGCCCGAATTCATGGAGCCAAGCTGTTGAATGATACGAGTAGATAACAGATTGATTAAAAGTAACAAAATTTATTAGTAAAGCGAACGATTTTGTTTCATGTGTTCTATCCCTCCTGGCAATAATTCAAGCAGCCATCAAACAAAAATCTCGAATTGGTTTTGAAACGGTCTGTTCGAGGCTTCCACCTGCTATACGCGTTTCTACCAGTATTGGCCATTTTCTTTGTTGCTATGTAATGGATCCTGACGTCAAATATAATCCAAAAGTTCTAATTCCATCACCACATAGTTTTGGGCGTGTATTTTCCTTCTTCGTATCCGATTGGTAAAAATACATATGAAGAAAGCGTGGAAAACGAATGTTGGAGGGCTATTCACCTAATTATAATGGATACATACATACGCACACACATACTCAGATGGCTAAGATAGTTTAAACGGCTACAAAAGAGAAGTAACTTTTAACGACAGGAAAAAACCAATAGACAAAACAAATATACCACCAGCTATTTTTTTTTCTACACAAGTTCATCTCATAGAGGCAAAGGAAATCAGCGACGTAACCACTTAGGATCGTCCATACGCGTACACATGGAAGGAAGCACGCGCGTACAAACATTGCTGCTCCATCGAATAGATTAAGTGGTCGAGATCGTGCGAATAAACCATTTGCGTAATAACTGAGACCGAAGTAAAATTTTCATTGAACAACTATAACAAGAAGCTCCGTTGCGGTGTGTTAATTCTTGCCCAAGTTTCTATATGCGTTCGTTGTATAAAGTTTAATGTATGAGCAACATAAGGTTTGATGGTAACGTGATTTGCCAACACTCATATGATTGTTATTATTAAGTTAAGTATTAATTATTAGGCGTTAATTTCGAAAAATCGTAAGCCACCTCAGATCCAGCATTATCGTTTCCTAACAACGTTATGAATAGACAAGTAATGGCAACACTGTGCGACTTGTTGCCCCTCTCAGAGAGGCTTTAAGCCGGCCGTTGTCCTCTGGTACGACGTCGTATATATCTATATATATATGTAGTGAATTAAAACGCGCCAGTTTTCCGTTGCTATTAATTCTCAACTGTAAAAAAGACGGTTTCCAGGCACTCAATATTGCACTCTCCTGCCAAGACGATTGTGCTTCGACAACACTGCAAAGCCAACCTTGCAACAAATATGTCATCTAGTTTTCTTTCCGTTGATGGCCAGCGTCGCTATATTCGGTCTAAGACAGAATCTAGAATTTGTGTATTCGGTATAATGCATCACTCTTTCAAGGCGCGATTTTTTAAACAATAGTTGCAGCACTTGGCATACGCGTTGTTGTGTCTGACATCGCAGCGAGTTGTGCTCGTAGGACGTATTTGGTTCATGGCATTCATTTGTACTATTAGACCTGTTATTTATTGTTACTACTATCTATGGTAGTGTAGATAATAAAGGGTGTATCGAGGCAGTAATTAGATAGACACGTGGGATAAATGATATGATGTTTTAGCGGGACTTTTCTACGAAGATGTACCACAAGAAGACGGATGTAGCTTTCTGCGAAAACCACGCATTTCAAAAGCATAGATTAAGCCAATAGATCAACGAGATCACATTTGCCGATACGTTGTCCAGACTACAACTTCTCGAGAAACGGTTCGAAAAGTCATCTGCATATATTTAAATAGCCGATATTTACGAGCATCGTTTGTGCATTTTAAGCAGTTTTTTCAACAAAGACCACCATTTCAAATGCGCACGCAAATAACATTGTGTAACATCGGGCATTAATCTACCTTCTGAGCTATCTACGATCTTTCCTTCAAACGGTCATCGCCGTTCTCTATGTTGGCTCTTGCCGGTGTGGGGTGAAGCGACGATCCCGTCGCTCCACCCTACTCCGGCCACTATAACTACCGTGCGTGAGATCAGCGCTGGAGAATTAGACCGAATAGGAGGCTTCGCGTGCGATACGTTCGCCCTTTGTGGATGCGCGCAAAGGTGCACCGTCTACCGCAGAACTGCTACTATCGAAAAGACTTGCCGAGTTCAAGACGCACGACCGGAACAAGGTTAACATCCATCGCTGCTGCTGTCCATTGTAGCTCGCCAGATAGGAGACAACCTTCCTGTTTCGACGAGAGCAAAAACAACAACAACAGGATTGTTTACCTAACCGTCTGCAGTAGCAATAACCGCTATGGTCGATTGTATAATGCGCCGCCGCTATCGTCACTATCAACACGAACGGAACGGAACGGAACGGAACGGAACGTAAATGGCAGTAGAGACAGCAGCAGCGACCACGTGGTGGGACCAGTTGAGATATCGTTCGATTTTGAGAGAGAACGCGTGTCTTACTCGACCGGCTGACTCCTCTCTCTTCGCCGCACAACATGTTAATGTATGCGCTGGAAGGAAGAGCGATAGAATAAAATTATGGCGGCAATTATCAGTTGCGCTAGTAACGTGGAGTTATAACTACCACTGTTAAACACGCAGACTGTAGATTGAAATACAGATTTTCTAAACGCCTTTTACCTGGCTCGTTGCTAAGCTGGATGATCGCTCAAGGAGGCCTAGATAAAAACAGTAATATAGTTAATAGGACGTATATTGTGACTGTTATTAAAATACACTTTCTTTCTTTCGTGTGCATCACTATTAACGTAGCCTCAGAAGAATCTCATTCGAAGGGTTCCTTGTGAATGCAATTATCGACTGAAGAACTTTGATAAATCGACTATGTATCTATGTTTGGAGATGATTAAAAAGGTCGAAAGACCCACTCGATATTTAGATGGTTGGTCGACGAAAAAATAGTGCAGACAATCGGTCAGCTATTATATTTCGTGCTCATTAACAGTCGTAAACTACTTGTACAGCCTTTAACAACCACCGTTTTCAACATTCCAATCTAGAATCTCTAAGATGGTAAACTGGATTCATAGATTTGTATTTCTACGGATACTATGAACACGGAACAGCCTAAGGATCTGGACGGTGGGTACAGGTTAGGTTGCGTGAAATTAAGCCCGCCGGTCACAAGTCGTATTGCAGTAACTCGACGATACGCCGGTCTGTTTCACTTTCTCTTACAGAAACCAAGTAACAGATCAAGCAATTTTTCTGCGCCTCGCTTCGCTGGTCGTCTTCAAGGTATGCTCACTGCTCTATACGCGCATATTGACGACAGCGTAACATGGATTGAGCCGTAGAATTTATTCACGTTACGCTGCAGCGTAAAACGCGTCTTAATACGGATTTCGTAGTTGATCTGAATGCATAGAAATAGTAACACTGTTAAGGGAAAGCCTCTTTCTCGCTCGACAGTTTAGATGCAGTAATAAGCTGGTAGGAAATATAATGTTTCGTAATTTTACGAGACGCCCGAACGTTCTATCTTCATAT